TAAATAGGCAAAAATTAATTTATAATAATAAATATGTTGATCGCGTAATGACTACTATCCAGTCGCTGGTATTATGGGGTTTCCATTTCCAGTGATGGCCGGAATTAATGGCAGCAATATTCCTGTTAAAAGACATACTCTCATCAATGAAACAAACAGTTTATTAATTATACACAATGTTTACCTAAATTACGGATTATAGTCATGATGAAGAAAATGCCCTGAAGAGCCACTGGGATCAGAATCAATCCACACAGTAATGGTAAACCCAATATAAACAGTATCGGTAATAACCATTTGATTGAATCGCTTTTAGATTTGTTTATGACAAATACGGGAAACTTTTGTTGCGTTATTGGAATGGGATTTCCAAAAGCATCGGTTCCACCGAATCCTCCAAAGCCTCCGCCAAATCCGCCGCCGAATCCTCCGACTCCTGGAAATAATCCTCCGGCGCCCAAACCATTGCCACCAAAACCCCCGGCTTTAAAATAATTTTGTAAAAAATTAATAATTAAATTTATTATATAAAATATTTAACACAGTATTTAGAGTACATTTTGTAGCATCTTTTAAATATTTTATTTTGAAATTAAAACATTAAAATTGAGAATAACATAAATACCTGGTAAAGCAGTTATTTGTATAGTACTTGGTTGCATTGATTCATATCTACAATTAAATTAAATTTTTATATTTATGTAAATAAATTTAAATACGAAATAAACAATTTTATCCATTTACGGTTAGCATAAAGATAAATATTAATTAATTAAATATATTATGATATATTGTTGTTGCATAGTTGCAGAAATAGTTATAAAAATGGTAAATCTTTTAAATAAATTGTTAAACATCTTAATACATCGTTTGGCGGATTAAATCTAAATTAGATTTTTAATTAAATTGTTGGTTGTTTTAAATATTGTGTCATTTTTCAACCCTGTTTATAAACATAATGGTCATTTTCTCTTTATCTATTGAATGTTTAAATGATTTATCGAGAATTCCTTCTGAGAATCTTTAATCACAAACGAGAATACTTTAAATTTGATTGAATGACAGTTTATTATGATTTGAATAACATTAGCAAAGAGTCTACAGAGGAAGAACTCTTTAGTTAAGGATATCTTCTATTATTTTGTAACTAAAAATTTTTAGTAATAAGTGACTTCAAATTATACCTTATTCAATACAAACAACAAGCAGCTCATTAGATTAAAATTTTAATTAACGTAAGTAATTGCTAACATAAAAGGGTTTTTGTATTTTAATTTCATATTTAATAAGAAGATTCTTGGCTGTAATATTATTGAGTAATTAACAATAAAAGTTTCAATTATTTTGGTGAATCTTATAATTGCTATATGATAGCTAAATTATCTCAATTCTCTTTTAATAATGCAAATCTGAGAATAATTTATATTTTATAATATCCAAATACGAAATGATTAAAGATATGCACAATAATGGCATTTTTAGTCAATGAAGTAAATCATAAGCTAAAATGATTTAATATACATTAAACTTTGCATTATTGTTCATTAAACAATAAACCAATTTTTCATACAGTATATTGGTTTATAATGTAAGAACATCTATGACTATAAATGGGATTTGATATGCATATAATGTTAATACAAGTACATTCTTGTATATTCTTACCCATCGCTGTTGTTTGGTTCTGAGAAATAGGGCTCATTGTTGGATTTGGACTCACGATTCTTTGCGTACATATAATTAACATAATTGTTATGATTCCTCCAGTAATCGGATACCGACGACCGCTTTCTGTCGTCTTTATTCTCATTATTGTTGTTATTGGTATAGGAATGAGTCGATTCTGTGTCAGCCTTCACACCAAATACTAATAATATGTAGAAAATAATTGTTATAATACACATATTCTCCACGAAAAGCAACATTATTAACACTTTATAAAACTAATGGATATCACATTCATATATGATTTGTGTACATGTTTTAAAACGGATTACCAATAAAAGATAAATCAATGCGATCTTAATGTTTTTGGTGCAGACTTTAAACAAAGTTTTTAGCAATCAATCGCTTTTATATGTGAGAAAATCTGAGCGGAAATCTTAAAAAAATTAAATCTCGACAAAAAATTGTGAACAAAATTGAGATAATTATAATGTGGTTGTTATACAGTAAACAAATCCATCCCAAGAGTCAGTCAGCCAACTATGAAAGTGTAGGAAATCCATATTGACCTCATGTCGGATCCCACCACCAAATGCACCGATACCTCCGTCTCCAGAGGTGATGACAATCAGATGTTTTATATCCAAACTAATTATTATCAGTTCAATGAGGCGTTCATTAAGTTTTTTCCATCAGTCTCTTAGTTTTGAATGATTTTTTATTAATCAAAATAACCCAAAGAGAGACTGGAATACATTCGACAGTATTGTTGTAGACATAAGCAGTCGTCTCATCATTTTTTTAAGTTTTTGCTTATCTATATTAAAATCAAATTTATTTGTATTATAAAAAATGTTAAAATTTTTGGTTAAAAATATATTTTACTCATTGACCTGAAATACTAAACAATAATTATAGATTATATTTATTAATTTAATTCATATAATCTATAGACATATTGTTTTTAAAATTTTAAATATTACAGAAATTTCTTTTTTACAAACCATATAAATAAATTAGATTTATAATAATATTTAAGACGTTTATATTACACAATTTAAATACTTTTTATGAAATATATTATCTAATTAATAAATATTAAATTCATATTTACATCACGTACATTCATTCAATTATGATGATTTTAGTAAAAATAATTAGATTAATACTGTATAATAAAGGGATGAGAAAATTGACATGTTTTTAAATTTTAAGAAACATTTTCAGTGAAAAAAGTTTCTTTCGGTAGAGTTTCCAATTTTATTGCTAATACTTATGAGAAATTTTCACTCAATTCTTCCACAAATTCACACTACTGTATACTTTACAGTATTTACATAATATTATTAAATAATCTCAGATGCTTTATTGCATTTTAAATTGCTCATTCATTCATTCAAAATAACTATAAATAAAAAATATTAAGATTTGCCAATACAAACATTTATTTTTTAATATAACTAACTTAAAACATGCATTTTATTCATTATTACTTTAAACAATAAATTAAAGCTATTTATAATATATCCAAAAATTTATATTTGCTAATTTGTGAATTTAATAAATTTTTAAATCTTTGAGATTCTAAGTAAGGTTTGCCTGAATTTAATTAAACAACTTTTTCATTAAACTTATTTTGAGATGCAATGAATTTGTTAACAATCGATGCGATGGTTGCGGCGATGAATGGGTTAATATCTTGACTCCTCTTTTTCCTGCCACCTCCGGGAACATTGGTTCCCTGATTCATATTCATGTTATTGATATTCTGGTTTAATTAATGCATTCATTAGTTTGCAATCATTTTAATTATTACAACAATATTAATAAGCTATATTCTTTTTTACCGTGTAATCTAACATTACATAAATATTATTTCCTAAAACAAAATTATTAATTGAAAATAATTTTTTTAATATAATATTATCATATAATTTGCCTCTATATGCTAATTATTGTTATATGATAATAATGTGCCAATTAACTAACCTGTTGAATTAATGCCAACAGTTGAAGGATGTTTGTGAAAAATGCTATTTAGAAAATATTCATTAAACATAGAGTTATTGATAAGCAATAGACAAAACGCTTACAAAACAAAAGGGGTAATAAGACAAGAGCTCCGATGAAGAATGGCAACAATGCGAGTAGAAGTATAGGCAATAAATATCCATGATCACTCTTTTCCTTATGGTAAGGAGCAGCTTGGTGATGTACGTGGACTGTAACATAATGCTCTATTATTAGCGTTGATAAAACTATTTTTTCATCATGATTGATTACTTGGCTGTTGGTGTACCACTTTGGACGGCCAGTGCGCCTGATATCCCTCATCTAAAGTACAATCAATTAACAAAATTCACTCATTTTTAAATATAAATTACATGATTCCTGTCCTCGATCTTCAAGACTGGAGTACGACTCTTGCGGTTGTAGTACTTCTCTGGTCGAAGAACGTGGTGTAAAGAAGTAGTAGTATTTCGATCGGGGATATTGATAGTCATTCATATATCCATCCAAATAGGATGCAGTCGTCGATTGAGCACTAATTGACGCACAGAATTGAATCACTAAGAATCCAATGGGCAATAATATGAACAGCATTTTTGCCATTTTATTTAGTTTGTAAAAATTGTAATATTATTTTCTAAATTATTTTCATATTTTTTATAGTAAATTAAATGCAATAATTTGACTACAAAATGGTTTAAACAGATTTTAAACTCAAATTTTCCAACTGGTCTGAGAATTATTTGTTTCGCCGTTAAGTTATGAATAAATAATGAAAATAAAAGACAAATTTGAATCCATCAAAAATTTCATGACTTGTCGTCTAAATGGACTAAATGGACAAAACAAACCTATTTTATATAAAGTACACACAAAATTATCTTAGATTTTGTTAGAAAAGTATGGATCAGTTGCTCTATTATGTGAGAATCTAAATGCGAAAATCCTTTCATCACTTTTGATAACAAGTGTTTTGATTGACTTCGTGTCGAAATGCATTTCACTTCTAATTCAATTGTTAAACACATTTTATGTTTATGTCTTTTATGTTTAACAATACATTGCAGTTTAGTTTGCATTTTGTCCGACGTTTGGGTGACGACGGCCTGTGGCTTATCTGTGAAGAGCGGACGGAAAGGCGGGTAAACGCATAACATCTCACGAATTCAATGCAAATGTCTGTCATATTCTTTGCATTTAAACATTGTATTCATTGCTTGAGTTCACATAAAGTGAATTTAACGCAGACTTTCTTTTTTATATGTATTTGTTTTATAGACTAAAGTCTATCTTATTGTTAGAAAGATCTTCATTTCGCAGACTATTTCTGATATAATCTTTACATTATCTGATGTTATGGTAATCTTGTGAAAGTAGTCAATAGTTTTGTTGCGAAATTTATTTTATTCTGTCATTTAAAGCAATGAATAGGAAATCCGATTGTAATTAAACTTTATTATTATATTTCAAAAATTCAAACTTTTCTTAATATTATATGTTTCAACATTTGGATTATTTTTATAAGTTATTGAAATTTGAATAAATATGTTGCAATAAATTTATTGATATTAGTGTTGAGCAAAATGAGAAATCTTTAAAAATTACGATAAATTTCTCCGTCTATGGGAATCCCATCATAAAAATGGGAATACATTATGATATTATATCTTATATGGCAATATATCATAAATTAATAATAAAATATAAAACATTTTTAATTGAGCTTATTTTGTGTTTAAGTTTATTAGCTTAATTATTCAATATTTCGATTAAATTTATAATACAGACTGTAATTGTTATTTGTTTTTGCATCCAAAATAGACTGAATATGATATAATTTTAAATCTTTTTAAAAAGATTTATTGTATTTAATGTAATAATTATTGCATTACATTATTAGATAAACAATGAAAGCGCGTTATACACAAAATTGAAATAAATGATAATAGCATTTAATTATACTTGTAGCTTACTTATCAGAGATTCAACTGCTTTATTGTGTAAATGCAAATCTAAATTGCAAAACGTGGATAATTAAGCTCCAAATGAATATAATAAGCGGTTCAACACATATTAATTTTGCCCAAAATGTTGCTCAAAAACTTCAAATGTCTGTTACAAACACAACACTGATTAGACATCCCGACAGTGAAATCGATTTTCAAATCGATGAATCCGTTCGAGAAAAGCATGTATTCATAATTCAGACCAAGAATTGCTGTA